AGGAGCTGGGTGAACAATTCACAGACAGAGAGATTGAGGAGATGATTGAGGAGGCGGACCGGGATCGTAAGTTCAATGCTTCCATAGTTTGTTTTTAACTAGTCCATTCTACAATTATGCCTGTCAGTTTTGACATTGAATATCAGATTTTTCTCCCTATCTGTGGTTTGAGATTTGGTACATATTGAATAATCTGAAGTGCAAAGCTTTCATCAACTTCAAATGCAGTAAAATCACAATAAAATTATTGTTGGTCTCATGTAGTGCATAACAATGAACCAAAACATGCTTTAAACAGATACAGGGTAGGCTGGTTCAGTTTTCTTTAAGCTACTATCCTGTCAAGGATCCAGACAAATTATGTGGTGATTCCTCTTCAAAAACATCCAAAATTGATGCCTAGGGATGAGTGGTGTTTGTTTTCTATTGTTGTTAATGTTTGAACATTGCTAGGTTTTTCTGGGTGTTGTGATACTCCACTGACTCCCCACTTTTTCAGGGATCATTAAAGGTGTGTTAGAAGATGCAAATAGTTACTAGTCAGATTCGGTACTTTGGCCTTATAGATATGCTTTGATTTTATGTTAAACAAGCCAGATACCTGAGAACATTGGGTTGGTGGCCCTATATCCTATCAAAACGCTGAATAAGAAGGCAGCTCTATGTGCATCATTCTCTAAACAAGAGATTGTACAGGGGAAATCTGAAGGATAAAGTTTGCAGCCTTAGGCTTTTCAGGATAACGAGAAAAACTTGTGCATGCCACTTGTATACAGACAGAAGAAACAGGGTTTTGGATATTGGGAATTCCTCAATACTACTGTCCTTGTAATTCTTCACGGAGTCGAGGGCTGTTCCATTCCATCACTTTTTGCTTCTTTTATGCTTGTATTTTTCTGCAGTCCAAACAAGAAGCTTATCCCTCACACTGCTCTTTTATCTCCCAAAACATGCAGACGACCGTGAAGTCGATATGGACGAGTTCTTTCGGATGATGAGGAGGACAACATTAGGCTACTAGTGCTTCCAGTTTGTGAACCTCTACATGAGCTGAAGGTTTCCTACTTAGAGTGATGGATGTGTGGCATTCTCTGTGTGTGATCTGTTTGTACATACAGTGCACATAAGAAAGGACTACTGTGGCATGAGACCTGCTAGATTGATACTTCTATCTTGTATTTTTGGCAAAACCTACCTCTGTCACAGCCTCTTTATGTCGTGCATTGAAGATTATGCCGTGTCTGGTGTTTAAGTAGAACAGTTTCCTAGTTATGTATGCTTCATATAAACATCTGGATTCACATCTGCTATCCTACTTGCATGTTGTTTCGAGGAAAGAATTTGACAGGATTCCTGCACTTTTCCGACCTTAACAGAGACTGCATAAACTGGTAGCTCTGCATTATCTGTTCTGGGCTACTTTGCTCATTGCTCGCATTTCAGTCCATTTCTATTGCATTGTTTGAAACTTGGCCTGCTCGAAAATCATTCTTCGGGAAACATTAGGCGAAGTGAATTGAGGTTGGAAAATAAAAGCAAGAAACTGACGTGACTGGAGAGTGTGGCAAGGTTGGGGTTTGCTTGGAGGTAGCACTGGTTACTTCTTGGCATGACTTTCCTATCCACGTTCTCCCTCTCGTTTTCAACGTGTTTCCTTCTCACTCTCTCTTGGTTTTTGCTTGCCAGGCTCCATATTGGCTTCTTTCTTGCTTCCGAACTGTTGTTAATTGTGGTCGTCTAAAATTATTATAGTTCTATTGCGTGAGGAACTTTTTACGATGTGTGTAAGAAAGACAGTTTATGACGCGAGACTATGTGATTTATGGGGGTTTGTGCGAATGATGGTTTCTGAAATTTAAGAATATTATGTGTGAATTCACTAGTAAACGTTATGTTTTAAATTTTGGGATGTCACGATCAAGCGCTTTTTTTTTTATTTTTAAAATACTACTTTCTCCCATGAAAAGATTGTTGCAAATATCTCAATTATAGATTGATTGCTGTCCCAATGATTCGTTTTTATAAGACTCATGGACTAATACGTTCTGTTAAACAGCTCGAATCGATTTGGTGCATGTAAATTTCGGTTCAAGAACTCTATAGGGTTGGCGTAGTTGGTCGGGGAATTGGAGAGTCGGCTAAGAAAGAAATTGAAGGTCTCCCGTTCAAATGCCACCTATTGTGTGCAAAATTATTCCGTTTTGGAGTGAGTTTCATGGATTAAACACTTGGACTTTATTGCCAAAAAAAAATCTAAACATATTGTATGGCGGTCAATTCAGTAATAAATTGTTCAATATGGTCAATTTAGTTCTAATTTTGCAACGATTCAAAATAGTCATTTCCATCGATTTTTGTTGGAAATCGCTAATGTGGCTGGACAGTTGGTGCATCCGATGCTAATGTAGATAATTTTTACAATTTTTTTCCCTTTTTTTTGTTTCTTTTTAGTTTTTTTCCCCTTTTCTTTTCCCTTTCGCCTATGGCCAGTCTCCACCAATCTTGAAAATGGCGAGTGACTACTGCAGGCGAGGGCCACACTTGCCACCGTGGGCCGGCGAGGAATGTCGTGACCCTCACAAGCCATCAGCCACAGGCGAAAAGGGAAGAAAGAAAGGAAATTTAGAAATTAAAAGAATTTCGAAAAAAAAAATCGTGCACGTCACCGCCAGTCGTGCTACGTAGATGTCCGACGCTCACATTAGACGGCCGGCGCCGATGATCGGCGTCCACATTAGCGATTTCCGGCTATAATTGGCCGGGATGATTATATAAAAAAAATCATCAAAAAATTTAAAATTAAATTAATCAAATTGAAAAGTTGGGGATCGAAATGGTTGTTGAGGACTTTTACCACTTTACTTTACGGGTGATTTGGCGTTTTTATGATGTTTCATAAGGCTCCAAACAATTGATGGTTTTGTATTTGGTGCTTCTTCTTTGGTTATGAAAAAGAAACAAAAGGAATTGTGTGGAGACAAGGGTTTTTGGTTTTCCCAGAGTCCCAGGTTGTTGACCAAGGCTGCGAATGATAACCATTCTGTTTCAGAAATCAATTTCTGACCAGAAATTGATTTTTCTATTTCTGTTTCTGGAGGAGTTTCTAAGCTAAAAAACATGTTTGATAATGACACAAAATTTCTATTTCAGAAACAGAAATTTGTTTGATAACGGCACAAAATTTCTCCTTCTCATGTGGCTGGCGAGTGGACGGCGGGCGGCGGACAATCGCTTCATTTCTTTTAGAAATAGAATAAAAAAATTAGAAAATCTGGAAAATTCCTAAAAATCTAAAAAAAATTCAGAAAATCCATAAAATTTTCCAGAAAATAAAAAAAAGTCAGATTTCGGCAAAATAGGAAATTTGTTCATTTTTTCCAAAAAAAATCAAAAATTTCAAAATTTCACATAATGGCTTAGAATACCTATGGCCACCCACTTTGAGTGAAATTTAAATTTTTTGAAGTGCCCAAAAAAAATCAAAAAATAAAAAATTTCAAAACTTCACAGAATGGCTTAGAATACCTGTAGCCACCCACTTCGAGTGAAATTTAATTTTTTTTTATTTTTTTATTTTTTTGGCACCTAAACAATTTAAATTTCACTTAAAATGTGTGGCCACAAGTATTCTAAGTCGTTTTGTGAAGTTTTAAATTTTTTGGTTTTTTTTGGGCACCTCAAAAAATTTAAATTTTACGCAAAGTGGGTGGCCACAGGTATTCTAAGCCATTCTGTGAAGTTTTGAAATTTTTTATTTTTAAATTTTTTTGGGCACCTCAAAATATTTAAATTTTACGCAAAGTGGGTGGCCACATATATTCTAAGTCATTATGTGAAGTTTTGAAATTTTTTATTTTTGGATTTTTTTGGGCATCTCAAAAAATTTAAATTTCACACAAAGTGGGTGGCCACATATATTCTAAGCCATTATGTAAAGTTTTGAAATTTTTGATTTTATTTATATTTTTTTTGGCACTTCAAAAAATTTAAATTTTATTCAATGTGAGTGGCCATAAGTATTCTAAGCCATTCTGTGAAGTTTTGAAATTTTTTTATTTTTTTGGAAAAAATGAACAAATTTCCTATTTTCCCGAAATCTGACTTTTTTTATTTTCTAGAATTTTTTTATGAATTTTTCTGGAATTTTTCAATTTTTAAGGATTTTTTGGAATTTTTTTTGGGCCGGCGGAAGGCGGCTGGCGGCCGATGGTGGCGGGAGGTGGCCGGTGGTCGGCAGCCGGCGGTGGTGGGAGGCAGCCGGTGGCAGGAGACGGTGGCCGGCGGCAGCGGCCAATGAAGGGTAGCGGCGGTCGGCGGGTGGCGGCGGCCGGCGATGGGCGGCGGGTGAGCGACCGACTAGTACTGAGGGAAAGTGATGAGAAGAACAAAAAAATTTTGTTTCTCATTTCTATTCCAGAAATAGAGAAGCTAAAAATTTTAACTTCTGATTTCTCTTTCAAATCTATTTCTGGAACAAAAATTTGTTACAGAAATAGAAATTAAAATTGCGTTACCAAACGGATTTCTGTTCCAAACCTATTTCTGGAACAGAAATAGAGAAACAGAATGGTTATCATTCGCAGCCCAAGTTGTCAGCGGCGGCGGTGGAAAACGTAAGCCGTACGGGTACCCACGGCCCTTAGATTTGCCCATTCCTCTTCTTCTTCTTCTGGACCTTTCCCCATACACAGAGACACTTCCAATCCCTCTCATCCTCATCTCAATCTCATCTCTTTCCCGAACAAGAAGAAATCGAACACGAATTCTAGCTCAGAAGGACCCCCACGGCACCTCCTCCCGCCCATGACGCACGCGGTCGCAGGTCATCGCACCCGCGTGGCCGACTATGTCATCACCACATCATCATCCTCCTCCGCCCCTGCCGTCCCTAGCTCTACGTGGCGCATGGGAACTCCCAGCTCACCAGCTCGGACGCCACGTGTACAATCCTCTTTACCGCCTTTTTTTGGCCCCTTTGGCGAATAAAACCTAGAGACGTTAACATGCGGACGAACTCATTTGCAATTTTTTGCCAACTCTCCCTCGTCGACAGCATGCAGCAAGGACAGCCGCACAACCTCAGGATCGCTCAAGACCAGGAGCACAGCATCATAGTCAACGCTCTCAAGCATGTCATGTCCGGGTCCGGGGATGGCCCCGCGCAGCCCCAGCCGATCCCGGCCTTCCAACCGTCCACGTCGCCGCTGCTCCCCTCCGCTGGCGGGGCCGACCCGGACCTGCTCTCCCTTCCCGACCTGGCCGCGTGCCAGGTGTGCAGGATCAACGGCTGCCTCGGGTGCAACTTCTTCGCGCCGGGCAGAGCAGCCGCGACTCCGGCGGCGGCGCGGGGCGGCGGCGGTGACGACGCGGAGGCGCTCGGACTGAGCCAGAGCAATAAGAACGCCGCGGGCAGGAAGAGGAAGGGCTTCTACCGGGGGGTGAGGCAGAGGCCGTGGGGGAAGTGGGCGGCAGAGATCCGGGACCCACGGAAGGCGGCGCGGGTGTGGCTCGGGACGTTCGAGACGGCGGAGCAGGCGGCTCGCGCCTACGACAGGGCGGCCCTCGAGTTCCGCGGCGCGCGGGCCAAGCTGAACTTCCCGCAGCCGCTGCCGCCGAGCGAGTGCGCGAGTACTACCCTTATCAATAAGGGTGGGGAGATCATGGAGGAGGGCGAGGCCAATCGGATGACGAAAGCGACGGCGGAAGCGGAAGAGAATGACAATGCCAGTAAAGGAGCTCCGTCGCTCGAGCGCGATGACGAGAGAGGAGTGAGCGAGTTCTGGGAGAAGCTCGAGAAGGAGGAGCTCACGGAGTGGGCGGTCATGCACTTGCCTCCATGAACGTAAGAGAAGGAGAAATTGCATGGTTTGCGGCGACCCCGTGGTCAGATGTCATTTGAATCATAGATTACCGCGGTGCCATCGGGGCTACACCTAACCGACGATTCATATGGACCCGATCTACGCGATCGTCCGTGCCATGCAACGTGCTTTTCATGAACAAAGCCGTCGTGCCCAAAAAGGTCAAGAAGAGGAAGAAGAAGAATAAAAGAAAGAGTGAAAAAGTAGTGGTTAGTAGGACAAATCGAAGTTACAATGTTTGTATTCTACTCCCTTTCATTGATGATTCATTTCGCTCTTTTTTTTTTCGCCACATTTTCTAGCGAATTTCGATTCTTCTTGGTAATATTAAAATCACATGCGCTTTCCTGTCCAATCCCACGATGTAGCTTGAAGGCTTTTGCGCCGGCGCTTCGGTCTAGAGTCAAAGGGGGACAAACACAGGAGGTGATTGGACCCTGGCTGCCCGATGTCGGAATTGGACGGCTTCTCTGTCTTGTCTTGTCTTTTCGTTTTCGTGTTGAGGAAAGGACGGCCTCGTGCGGGGCAGCGGGCGACATTTGTCTCTTCATAAAGCGATTCTATCGTGGTGGATAGATCGTCCGCATCTACAAAAGAACCAAAAAAGAAAAGGTCAATTCCGGATGTAAAATCGAATTTTGGAATAACGCTAGAAGCTCACGAAGCTGAAAGACACTAGGTTTCGAGTTTTGACCAAAAGGAAAAAGAGAGAAGACTCACGCGCCTGTAGGGCGCTTTTGTGGATGTCATCCTGGCGTTGACAAATTTGTGAATCATCCCGGTTGTCGTCCCGATTCATGCGAGCTAGGGACGAGGCTAACAACGTGGTCGCACCAACAAATTGTTAAATGCTTTTGGAGCAGTATCATCGATGACCGAAACGCACTTACAAAAGCAAAAAGGAAAACAGAAACAGATGGTCGCATATATTGCTTCCTTCATTAACTTAAACAAAGTTTTGTGAACATCTGAATAATAGACAACCAGTTAGAAAGAAGGCATTTTTTCTCCGATGGGCCACGACTATCCAATCTACCAGCCGGTTTGCATCTCGTGGGCAGTGGGCGTTACGAACTTTAGTGAGGCCAGCTTCCTTTTGCAGCCTTCAATTCATGCCCGCACATCCCTTGGGCTTGGTTTAGCACCCATTGCGTAGTTGACCAAATGATAAGCTATCAGTTTCCACTCCTTCCAACAGATCAATTTGCATTCACAGATCAGAGCTTTTCTCTAAATACTCCAAAATTGGTGTGTGTGTGTGTGTGTGTGGGGGGGGGGGGGGTGGTGGGATGGACAAGGTACTTTCAACCAATGCTAGATCGGTGCCCTTATCTAGTAGAAGAGGATCTGAATGAAGCATTGATCGCACCACTGACCTTGGAGGAAGTAAAAAGAGCAGTATTTTAGTTGAGAGCTATGAAAGCTCTAGGACCCGATAGACTGAATGATCAATTTTATCAACATCACCGGGTAGATATCCAGCATGATTTATTCCATATAGTCAAAAACTTCCTTAATTTAGGTGCCCTTTATCCCAGTTTAAATGAGACTTATATCTCCCTAATCCCAAAAGTCCCAAACCCAGAATGCCTGAACTAATTCAGACCCGTCAACTTGTGCAATTTTTCTTACAAAATCATTGTTAAGGTTATGGCAAATCGCCATAGACATAGGCTCCCTAAGATTATTGCCTATGAAGAAAGTGCTTTCGTTAGCAAAAGACAGATTGAGAATTGACATTCTAATTGTTCAAGAAGTTTTGCATCAGCTGAGGGTGAGGAAAAATAAGAAAAAATTCCAATCAGTGTTAAAACTTGACATGAAGAAAGCATATGATCGGGTAGAATGGGACTTTCTGGAATCATGGATGATAAAGATGGGATTCCATGATAAATGGGTGGCTTTGACCATGCAATGTGCTTCCACTCTTACTTTTGGCATGAAATTAATGGGAACCTACATCTTACTTTCAACCATCGAGAGGGCACAAGTAAGATCATCCTCTTTCCCCTTCTTGTTTATAATTATGACAACTTTCTCTCCCATCAAAGGAATTCAACTAAATAGATTTTGCCCTACTTTATCTCATCTGTTGTTTGTTGATGACACTAAATTCTTTCTGGATGGGTAGATTAGGGAAAGTTGGAATCTATCTACAGTCTTGAATCAATATTGCTTCGATTGCGTCAAGAATCTACAGAGGAATATGGCTTTAGACTTGCGAGTTATCACAGAGGAATGTGGCTTTAGACCTGCGAGTTATCAACAAATAAGGAAGTACCAATATATTCCTTTTGATTGGGGTCATTCAAAGAGGCAAATGTTTGCCTGGATTATAGCAAGAGTAAATATGAAATTGGAGGGATGGAAGGAAAAGTTGATGTCTAAAGCCGGGAAGAAATTCTAATTAAATTTGTTATGTAAGCCCTATCCCAATATGTTATGTCCATCTTCAAGATCCCAAATTATGTATGCAAAGCCATCGAGCAAAAGATAGCCTCCTTTTGGTGGAAACAAAACGAATCCACTTTTGGATTGCACTGGAAAAAATGGGATATCCTTAAAATCAAGAAATATTATGGCGGAATGGGATTTAGAGATTTCATTAGTTTTGATAATGCATTGTTGGGCAAACAGGCTTGGAGATTCTCGCAATCACTATCGACCCTATGGAGATAATTATTAAAAAGAATCTACTTCTTTAGGGGAGATTTCTGGAATGTAGGAAAGGGTTTCATCCATCGTAGGGATGGCAAAGTATGTTAATAGGCAGAGATGCCATCACAAGAGACTAGCAGGTCAGTCGAAAATGGAAAGTCCATAAACATTTGAGAGTAGAGGTGGTTAACATCTAGTGTGATTGGTGGATCGGCTAATTAAGAAGACCCCCAAAGAGTTGATGACTTAATTGTTCGGGAAGATAAGAGTCTGGAATGAACAAAGCTTACATAACTTATTTGAGGAGAATGTAGTCAACGAAATTCTAGCTATTCCACTCAGCAAGAATCCAGAAGATGATAAGCCGATATGAACTAAGAATAAAGTCTATAAACTACTCTGTGAAAATTCCGTACAACAGGCTACATTCGACAAACCAGTAGCAACAAGTAGAGCAAGCCTCCTCATCCCATCAAACACCCTAGACGCTATGGACGAATATTTGGAAACTGAATACCTAACCCAAAATTCATATCTTTTTGTGGAGTGTGTGCCATAATGCAATACCTACGAGCGAGAATATTTGTAAGACGAAAATCTTATTTGATCCCATATGTCCCCTCTGCCAACAAGCTCCAGAAACGTCAGAGCACAGCTTTCTCCTTTGCCCTTGGACTGAAGCCATTTGGTACAAGAGCAAAAAATTGAAAATGTGAAGCATTCGAGTTCCCTTTGTAGAAGGCCTCGGATGGGCTCCCAAAAAACATATGCTAGACACACTAGCATTTGCCCCAAGGGCCTTTAGAGGTCCAAAAGGGTTTGCAAAGCTATTCTTAAACGCAGCCCGTTGTACTCGAATTTTCGTAGTATGTTTAGATTGCGAACTCCTGTCATTTTTGTTTTTTTTGGTCGTGAACTCCTGTCATTTTAGGAATTGCAATTTTAGTCGGGACTTGGTGTGAGTGCATGGAGTTCGAGTGAACCTATATATCTAGTAGTCAAGGACCGCAATTTGGACCCTGGGTAAATCGGTCCGGTAATCGGGGTGTTAGTGTTTAGTTGCATGAGGACTCGGATTTGCTCCCAAGGTACTAACTCGAAATGCCAAGGTCTAGATTCTGGCTCAAGGATACCTTGTCATGTTGCAAAAGTCTTGATCCTTAAATTTATGGAATTTCTTCCATAGACTCGCTTTACTTGATCGGGTGAATCACAATCATTGATTTTATAGTCTCACGTGAGCTCTACAAGATAAACTGCTATGATTCACTTGATTCATAGGATTTGGGTCCCCATAAATACTCCCATAAGTTTCGACTCCAAGAAATGAGTCCAATCCTTGGGGTTCTCATGATGATTATCTATGAGACACGGATGTGACAGTAGACAAGGTGGCGATCGAGCAACCTTCGAAAAATGAATTCCCAAACTCATACCCTCTTTCAAAATTAAACGTGAATTTTCATTGACTGTGAAAATATTTTTGGCCAAACTTTTTTATTTACTTGTGTCGAATAGAGGTGAGCATGATTTGGGTGGGTGGTTCCCAAAATAGAACCGAAAATCGCCCACTAAAAACCGGTTCCGAGAAATTAGAACCAGGAATCGCGGGGTGGGTCCATGGAAGTATTCTCACCAACTTTCACGCAAATAGAGATAACCGATAGTGAGAGAGGGAGGCAATGAACAGTTAGAGGCACGGCTGTAAGTTGATAGGAATTGAGAGTCGAGCTTCAAATTAGAGATTTTTATGGTTTTCGTTTTTCTGAAAATGTTTTCTTTTCTTTTTTTGGTTGAAATTTAAATTTTATATATATATATATATTACGGTCCAATCTGGGTGGGCGGATGGTCGGTTCTACGCTTAAAATCGGGAACCGGATTGGTACTCACCGATTTTAGTAAATAAGAACCGGGAACTTGACCGGTCCTTATAGAAACTGCCAGTTCTAAGCTGGTTCGGTTCGGTCCGGTTCCAGGTGGTTCCGGTTCCTTCGCACGTTCCTAGCGTCAGAACCACGGAAAACGAGCGAACTACATTGTGCCGGTTCATCTTTGCCCAATACGTTCGATCGTTCCGCGGATCGAAACGAGTCGCCTCGGACGCGATCCCTTCTCCTAAGCAGCAGAGGAAGTCCGTGACAGAATCGGAAAAGGAAGTCGAACGGGAAGTCCGATGGCCGTAGATGCAGCGGCAGATTCCTCGATTCCATCCCCCTCTCCTTCGTCGCATTCCATTCCCAGGTTCTCCCCTCCCTCCCTCTCTCTCTCTCTCTACTTTCTCTCTCTATCTCTACCCTGCGTATCGCTGCTGACGCCGTAGTCTCCCTTCCCCTCCCTCCCTCCGCCGCCATGCACAGCCAGCCGTGCCACTTCTACGTCGCCGTCGACCGCCTCCGGTTCAAGATGGTATCCCCATGCGCCCGATCCCCCGTTGTTGGGTCCTCGTCCGATTGCTCGCCCGGTGTTTGTCGAAATGCCTAGCCGGCGATTTATTTTTTATTTTTTTGGTTTTTTTTTATTGCCCGCGGTGGGATTTCCGCAGGAGACGCTGGTGGATCTGCTGGGCGTGGCGGGTCAGCGGCCGGGCCTGCCGGTGGCGGTGTGCTGCAGCTCCCGCGACGAGCTCGACGCCGTCTGCTGCGCCGTCGCCAACCTCCCTTTCATCTCTCTGGCCTCTCTGGTGCTTCGCTTCCCCCACACCACCCCCCCCCCCCCCAACCACCACTCTGTTTTAATGTTGCAGCTTAAAGCTCCGGGCTTGATAGCATTGTTTTGTCCCGTTCCGGGTTGGTCGATACATGATTTCAAAGACTTACGGATTGAGATGAATGAATTGTTTTGGATTCGTCATGCAAGTATCTAATTAGGGAATTCGTAGTCCTCTCTTTCCAGTTGCCTGTTCGATGTAGGCTTACCGCATTTCATTGTCTCTTCTTAGAGACGCAACTGATGGGTATGGGCTGCTTGATTGGAATTTTGATGTTTTACTTTACTGAGTTTTGCCAGTAGATCTATGGCTTCCGCTTTCGTGGAACTTATGTTTCTATAAGCCAAATTTCAGCTTCTAGGATCATGTTTGCGAGTCATCTTTTGATGGCTTAACTCATGAATCTTCATTTCCTCACATTCACAACGAGACATTAGAACTGGGCCACAGTATTTATTTGCGAAATGAAGAAAGGATTCAAATGTGGGATTTGTTGTCGACAACATCGTCAACTAAAAGATATCCTAAAGCAGTTTCCTTGTCAGTCGAATATATCTCAGGAAGCATCTTGAATCTTCAGAGATTAGAAACTCAGGATTTGTTACTGGTTTTCTTTCTAGACTTTAATTATTTGCTGCTGAACCTTCTGTGCATCTGTTTTCCGTGTACCAGTACAGTGACCTGGCTGAAGCAGAACGTGCTCTCGTTCTGAATGGGTTTCGGCAGTCAACTTTGCATTGGAACCAAATTGTTGCCCAATCTGGAAATGACATAAAAGCAGTAGAAGATGTTGAGCAAAAGTCTCATATTGTTGTTGTTACGGATGCTTGCCTTCCACTTCTTGCTTCTGGGGAGTTGCCACTTTCTGCGAGAGTTTTGATCAATTATGAGTTGCCAACAAAAAAGGTGCAGTCTTACATAATGATATCGATGTTTGTTTCCCCATATCAAATAGAAAAAGTTGCTGTTTTTGGCTTGCACTCTCTTTCAGGCACGAGATGCATGCCCTCTGAACAGAATTCATAGTGTTCTTTTTCTGTTAATAACATGCCATGCTGCTCCAATTTGTGGTCTATCGCGAATCTGTGCTGCATCCTCTCTTGGTTTGCTTAATGTACTCATCTGTAACACTGACGATGCCTCTATGAGGCATCTGTGATCATGCCCTTGTTTGGATTCACGAGCAAGAAACTCTATCTGGTCTGTGAGAGTTGCATCATGAGCTCTTTCCCTGACTGCATAACTGCGAACCCAAAATAGAGTTTGATGGGCTTGTAAACATTGAGAGGCTGTCAACCTTGTAAGTGGAGTTGATGTCCACCTTGTGTTTGTGTCTCTCATTTATGTGATATTTTCTTGTGAGAGTCTCTTCAATTATTAACATCTCCTCTCATGCGGATAAAGTTTCTCTCAATATGACCCATTCCGGTGAGTCATTCTTCTGGGTTACATACATATTGGTAAGAAAGTAAGCGATTTTGTGAAAATACTTTACCTTGCAAATACTAGGGTCGACAAATACTTCATATTAGCCAAGAAGTTTTTCCTCTCTGCTTTTCCTGCTTCCTTCACATTGTTGGCCCACTGAAAAGACCCCAACCAGTCTGGAACTGGACCTTTTGTTGATCGAGTGTTAATTCCATGGATGACTCTGCTGCATGATTCCTTGGTTTACATTTTAAAATAACTGAAATTTGGCCTTTTTTGTCTGGGGTTGTCCTTTGAACTGGTTTCATGGTACAAATGTGTGTTGTAATTATTCATGCTGATGTTAGATGTCAACATTGTTTTAACATATTGAGGCTAATAGTAAATAAAATTGCAACATGTGTGATCAGTTGCAATGTCAAGCCTGTCCTTTTAGTGGTTGCAATCAACCCTCAACCTTTCTAGTAATGCAAAGCACCAAAAACATTCGTGTTCTATCTTAAATTAGATTTTTGTTTACCTTATCACATGTGACCATAAGCACGTAGACCTTTTGGAAACGAAAGTGACTTCGATCTCACTAATCTTTCTATAATTATCACTTCATTAAGCTCTAAAAACATCTGTTCACTGTCAGAAAGAAGGTATTGCTGCGAAATACTCGAAGACTTGAAAGTCTGATTAAGTTGTCATTCCAGTGGGAATAAAGTGATTTGAGTCTAGTGGTGCAATTCAAGGTCAAAAGTAATTCTTGTTTGTTGGAAAAGCTGTAATGGCAATTATAATACTTCCCAAGCCTATGCATGTAACTAAAACACATTAATGTCATGGGAATACTAATTTCTGGGAGCAACTTGTGACAAGTTGAAAGCTTGGGGGTTTATTTGCATCATTTAAAAGGACATGCTAAGTTGGAACAGATACCAGATGGTGGCTTGTGCTTGCATTGATTACTTATCTTTTAATGTTGGTTCTTATCCTGTTGATGGTGGTTTTTTTTTTTTTTTTCTGAATGTTGATGGTGGTTCATGTGCTTGATTTCAGGAAACATATATGAGGCGAATGGCAGCTTGTTTGGCAGCTGGTTATTTTCCGAAACTACCGTTTGAATGAGTCATCTTGTGTTGCATTCTTGTAGTAACTGCAGATGTATATTTGCAGATGGGATTGTCATCAATATGATTGTCGGGGGTGAAGTAGTAACTCTGAAAAGCCTGGAAGAAAGCAGTAATATTTTCATAGCTGAGATGCCTATCAATGTAAGTTCTGCGATTGGGTTATTTTGTACATGGCAAATAGCAAGCAGATCCTTTGTTCGATGTGTTTATCCATATGGTTATATTGCAGATTTCGGAGATATTGTGAAGGTCTTTGAGTCATTTCGGTTGCCAAGAGCATGTGGCCTGCTTTGGCTCCAACTTGTCGATGAGGTCCTTGAGCGTCGGTTAACAAGCAGTTGCTATGGTAGGGAGCATCTCTCGCGCTTGTGCAGTGTTTGGGTTTCTGTGATTAACCAGTCCTTTTTCCAAAGTTCGAAGCAGAAAGTATCTAATGACTACTGAGGCCCAAAGTGTTACATATTCCCAGAATCGTTGAGGCATATAAACTTGTGTAGACTATGTATCAGATTGAGTCATCATGTTTTGGTGCATTTCATGTATAATTTCTTGCTATTCCTCAGCGGATGCACATTACTCTCTCGCGGTGTATATTGTCTCTTAGAAAGGACGTTGTTTCATTAGCGTTTTGTCGTGATATGGGAAGTTGTTCGCATTGGATTTCATCTTAATCTGCATGGAAGCATTTACTAGTAAACACAAAAAGCCGGAGCTCAAAGAAGGTCTATGCTTTGTCCTCTCCACATGGTACTTTGGGTTCGCATAAATTTGCCGGGTGAATCGCATTTGACCAATTGATTATTAATTATTAAAAACAAAAAGCGCTTTTTTGTTTTTACTTATTATCAGAAAAGTGCTTCTGCGTATCTATAATTTTAAATTAATGGAGGAAAATATTTGGCGCCAAATATTGTCAGAGTCGGTAGACTTCAACAGCTAGCTACTAGTTGGAGTCAGTAGCATGATCGTGTTTCTATATATGTAAATGCGAGTAAATGTGCATATAAATGCGTCAACAAACTTAATAAATGTTTTAAAGCACGAGGAATGACATCGACATAAGGTTCATTTCTGTCGGCCAAGACACACGGACGGATGCACAATAGTTATCTCCTTGTATGATAGCCGGTTAGAGAAGATTTTCTCCACCCTGACATGTGGAAAGCGTGGCCCGTATCTTCTGATGGATTCAACCATATAAAAAAAAAAAGTAGACAGCAATATATCAGCAGCAATATCTACACTAGATTTCATGCCATGAAAATTGCTGGCCATATCAAGTTTTAAACAGCCTATAATATTGCATGATGCACTTGGATATGTGGAATGGAAACTCGTAAGAGTCCTAGCGAAGATCTTCTGTGTTTTACCTATTGTCCAAGTCAAAACGAGCTTTGAATTCAGAAACAAAAGAGCAGGAGGTTGATAGAAAGTACAAATTTGGCTTCCTGACGCAGAATTAGCCGAGGGTTTTCTTTAACATCTGCTTATGCTTATACAATTACAAGAGTTTTGACTTATTTCTTTACTAAAATACTCAGATCTTCTCTTAAGGACACGTACCCCCCTTAAAAGAACATGATGTCTCAATGCACATTCCATTGCAGGAACCTGCAGGATTCCAAGGAAAAGCATTTGCATGAACTGATTCCTCGAATTGATCATCATCGTTGTGCTAGATCACGTGAAATTCCCTTCTTTCTCGTTTTCCTTTTCATGTGAAACCCATTGTTATCAAACCGTCATCCAGGAAATCAAGCATTTTACTCGTGTAGCAAACTCAAGGCGGAAGTCCTTTCCATTTCTTTGCTGGTGTAATTGGGCAGAGATGATTTGTGTGTGATCGCCTAGGCCTGGTGCCGTGTTGCAGCTGATCCTGTGACGAGCTCTACACCGTCTAGCGGGCTGTCTCTTATCTCCGTTTCATCGCTTTGGCCTCTCTCTACTGGTTCAGTGTCCTTCCTTTTAATGATTTTAAGCTTTTCTTCATCTTTCATACTATCATATATGTCTTATTTCAAGTTAATAGATCCATACAAAACCCTAGCAAACATTTAGTGATTAGGCAAACATCAACCCCCTTAGAAAGTCGAAAGAATACACTTATGAATGTGCAAACAAACTTATAAATGAACATATAACGCTCACATCTGCGGCCACATACATGCGTATGGATGCATGCTTACTGGGCAATACAAGTGCATATATCATCATTCGTGGCAGTCTCAACTCTTGTTTATTTTGCCTCGTTAAATCTTGATTGTCTGTTGGCCATTGAGAAATTTCTTCATTAACGGATTGAAAGAACATAGCACTTGTATATATATATTATAGTTACTCAAAATGAAAGTATACAGTATCTTATGGAAACATGCTTATGGAAACTCTTTTTTTCCACCTGAATGTGAACACCACGATCCAAATATATGAGGAAGAAGAAAGACTTCTTTTATGACTATTACATTAGACTTCATATTTATGTTAAAGAACTGTCTTTTACTTTCTAGAGATCTTTTTCTCGTGCAAAGTGGCATAGTAAGAGTTCTTTTCTATGCATTACCGTTCCTAAGATTCATTTCCAGAGAGAGTTGATAAGATAACAATATAAACATCTTATAATGAGGAATTATTACTTTGTCTTTCCTTATGTTATTTCGTGTCCGTTGAAAACAAGAAATGCAAAAGGGATAGAAAATAAAGCACGTATTTATCATCGCATTGGCTCTATCAGTTTATTTAATGTCCATTAACTAATTTGAAAAGAAGTGAAATAAAACACATATCTACCCAATTCGTTCTGTACCTATAAAGGACAAGTCAATTAAAATTTTGAATAATTTCCTTGCATAATTATATGGGTCAACGTGAAATAAACACGCTTATAAATGCACAAACAAACTTATAAATGTGCTCCCAGATAGCAACAAATATCCATAACGATCTTCTCCACATATAAAGACACGGGTATTCGTGCATGCTCACGGTGCAATAGAAACCCATTTCTCGTGACAATCTCAATTTTAGTTTGCTTTTAAGATTTATAATATAGTTCGGCCGTTAAAAGATTTTGATTAGTAATGGACTCGACAATCATACCAACTTGTGTATATGTGAAAGGATTAGCTACTTCAAATGAAGATATAAAACACATTTACTTAAGCTTCGCTTAAAGAACATCTTCTTCTTTTTCCATTGAATGTTATTACAATAGTCCAAAACAATGATGATGAAGTATGTGGCCTTCGTCAATTATACTACATCATTCGTACTTATGTTCACAAGCGGTATGATACCTCACCAACGACAATTGTATTCCATGGAAGGAGTTTTCCTTAATTATCTTGCAGAGGATACTGATGAAAAGATTTATTTCCGAAAAAAGTGTTTATAAGGTGACGAAATCGATCTAGATAAGTATACAAATGTATTGTCGCTTCTCAAAACAAAAAATTCCATTCATGGTCCTTTCTTTTAATTTGAAAGATTTCCTCTCGACTCTTATTTTTTAGGGTTAATACCACAAAAAATCCTAAACTAGTATACCTGTGACAAATTTACCCCAAACTAATTTTTTAATCACCAAAAATCCCAAACTGATACACTTATGACAATTTTACCCTCCGTTAATTTTCGTAACATTTTACCGTCAAATTTCTGAATCAAATGACACGTGGCAGTTGACGGATATAGCAGTTTGGGATTTTACCCTCCCTTTGTCACATGTGTACAAGTTTGAAATTTTTTGTGGTATTAATCCAATTTAACAGAGGGTAAATTTGTCATATATATACCATTTTGAGGTTTTTAGTGATAAAAAAATTATTTTAGGGTAAATTTATCACATGTATATTAATTTAGGGATTTTCGTGGTATTAACCCTGTTTTTTTTAATAATCTCCTCTCAAATTTTTCTCCATGTCTTTTACGACTGTCATTCGCTTCCTTCTTTGACCTTTTTTTTGGCTAACCTTCCTTCTTTGACTTGCCAAAGTAACACGACCTCATTTGATTGAAACTACACTAACAAATATATAAGATGAATTTAATTTGTACGTGGAATACACAGGTCACACTTACTCTAGCTAGAATTCTAGCTCAATACACGAGCTTCCACTTTAGGCTCACACCCATCTTCTTGTCCATAATATGACTAAAGACTACTCGATCTTATATAAATTTCTTCTGTTAGTTAACTAATTCCAATTGGTAAAACGTGATTTTACTGTAGTATGATGACAATTGATAAACCTTTTGTCTTACTAACCACATGTATTAATGTGCAGGCCTTAATAAGCTCCTGTTGTATCGTTGTATCATTAGTGTCTATTAGAGAAACACAGAAAAAGAGAAAATAAAGTGCATATTTATGTAATTTGTTTTCTTTGATCTATAAGCACAACATGAAAAATTGTCCGAAATTTCCTCACTTAAAGATATATATTTTCTGATGCATATAGAAAATTTATGGTAAATAGGCAAAGCTTAACCCCTACATGTTTGAGTTGGTGGCATGCTTGTTTGTCAATTTGTTCAAGGCGAGTAAGGTGCTGCATGAAAACCATTCTGATTCTATCCAGAACTGGTTTTTTGTTCTCAGAATCAGTTTTGGACCAGAAACCTGTTTGGTAACGCAATTTCATTTTTCTATTTCCGGGACAAGTTTGCTTCCAAAACTGATTCTGAAACCAGAAATGAGAACAAAAAAAAAAGTTGGTTTTTCATTTTTGGAACAAAAGTGAGAACCATTTATGAGGAATTCATTTTCTTCAACACACATATTCATAAAATGGCTTAGAAAACCTATGGCCACCCACTTTAAGCAAAATTTAATTTTTTTAGTTGCCAAAAAAATAAAAAAAAATAAAAAATTCTAAAATTTAAAATCCACACAAAATTTAATTTTTAGGAAAAATAAAAAATATCTAAATTTAAAATACGAAATTTGTATGGCCACCCAATTTGAGCGAAATTTTATTTTTTAGGTGCCGAAAAAAAAAAAAAAAAGCAAAAAATAAAAAATTTCAAAACTTCACAGAATGGCTCAGAATACTTGTGGCCATCCACTTTGAGTGAAATTTAAATTTTTTTAGGTGCCGAAAAAAATAAAAAAAATAAAAAATTTCAAAACTTCACAGAATAGCTTAAAATACCTGTGGCCACCCACTTTGAGTGAAATTTTAATTTTTTTATATGCCAAAAAAAATAAAAATAAGCAAAAAAGTAAAAATTTCAAAACTTTACAGAATGGCTTAAAATACCTGTGGCCACCCACTTTGAGTGAAATTTTATTTTTTTAGTTGCCGAAAAAAATAAAAAAAATTTCAAAACTTCACAAAATGGCTTAGAATACCTGTGGCCATCCACTTTAAGCGAAATTTAAATTTTTTTAGGTGCCGAAAAAAATAAAAAAATAAAAAATAAAAAACTTCACATAATTGCTTAGAATACCTGTGGCCACCCACTTTGAGTGAAATTTAATTTTTTTAGGTGTAAAAAAAATAAAAATAAGCAAAAAAGAAAAATTTTCAAAACTTCACAGAGTGGCTTAGAATACATGTGGCC